TCATACAGGGTTATTGCACAGGGTATTTATGTAGATGGGTATTTACCTACTGTATATAACTATTGCACTGGGTATCAAATATAAAGAAACAGGTTATTGCACAAGGTCTTAAATACTAATTGAAAACTGACACAAAGGAGTACACATTCCTACAAAGTAGGAAAAATCCTACTTTTTTTTTTCAGAAAAAGTACAGCTGGAAGTCTCTAGGGCTCTACCAGTTCTGCTAATCTAAAAACTGAAAGGTTTCCCAGTTCTTTATTAAGAGTAAACATGAGTGACCCCATATTTACCCAGGATCGCCCCCCATCTCTCTGCATCCATCTTCCCATTGGCTGGCCAACCGCCCCTGTCCCTGCTGAAGAAAAGCATCCCTGGGAGTGGCAGCCTAGTGGTTAGGGCTTGGAATCATGAGGTTCTGAGTTTGAGCCCCACTCCCACAGACTGCCACTCTGGCTCTCTGAGCAAAAACCCTTAACCCTGCACTGCTCACTGTGCACCCCACTATGGCAGCCCACTGCTCCCAAGAGGAAGGGTTAAATGCAGATATAAATTTCAATAAAGTTCAATTACATCATGATGGTGCCACAGAGGATGCGTTCAGGGATAAACATGAAAGGTTCATGATCTTTTTTTAACCTTTCAAAAATGTTATTTTGTTGTCAAATACTTCATACGAATGCTACTCTTGGTCATTCGGCCCTGTTCCATCATCAACAACAGTTTGCTCTACTTGGCAGCTCCTCCCACATCTCCAAAAGAACCTGTTCTGATTTCTCTCCTCAAAAAGAGTCATTGTAACATCTGTAACCACCTCACCTCCTTGTACTAACACAACTAGGGACCTAGAAAGGTTAGGGAACATGCTGTTGATGTTATAGTCAAAGAACAGCTTTAAACTCCCAAGGCAGGAAAGCATTTAGCAGAAACATTTACAGAAGCTCTGAACCAAGAGGTAAGAAAATGTCTCTTTGCACTTGGTGCAGACAGATTTAAGAACCTCCAGAACCAGTGTGGATTTATTTAGTCTTTAAATACAATGCAATGTTGTCCATGACAGCAGCTGAGGGACAGAGGACACGGGTACGCCGATCCGACTTCATGCTCTTCAGGCTAAAAGCTAATGCAACAATGTGCTAGCTAAAACCTTGTAACATAACACTTTATTACATTGCTTTTTGTCCAGTGATTATGAATCTTAGACTGCTTGTACATACTTTTTGATACTCAAAATGAAATACACAAGCAGCCATTCAAAATGTCCCCACTTTCCTTGATGGTCGTTAGCCAAACCTCTAAAATTCATTTTTAAACATTAATCTTTGCACTAAAATATTCTTTCTGTCATGATTTGTGGACATTCCTCTCACATGGAACCAACTAACAGTTTTATTCGGACACCCTGTCTACTTTTAATACTAGGCTTAAAACTTTCCTTGTTGATGAAGCTTATAGTCAGAGCGGCTCGGGTTATCATGAGCTATATCTACAGCTCTGCTGCTATAGGCTTAGTATGCTGGAGGACATACAGTAGTAGTCATTCAAAATTCCCTGGTCCCCGAAAACTCCTTTTAAAAATCAATCTTTGTACCAAAATATTTTTTTCTGTAATGATTTGTGGACATTAAGATCTGAAGAGAAGCATCACCTCCTAGTCAGACCCTGTAAATCAGTGAAAGGGTGGAGTCAGAGTAAAAAAAATGCACATCCAGCAGAAGGCCTGTGAATGGAAGCTGGAGGGGATTTGGCTGGAAGTGACAGGGGAGTAGGCTGCCACTCAGCTGACATTTGAATGGGAAGGGCGATTTTAAATGGTTGCTAGTGTATCAGTTAGTTGTGAAAGTTATTCAATGAAAGTGCAGCAGCTTATCCTATTGATGTAAATAACTCAGAAGCGGCGTCCCAGTAAAAATAAGCATCTTTCTTCTGGCTTGGGAATAATGACAAAAAACAAGTCCTATTTCATTGTGAATCAATGTTGTATTAAAAGGCTCAAAACATGATGTTAGAGTTAACTTTAGATGGCATAAAACACCTTTTAATCTCATCATTGTTCTTCATGATTCTGTTTGTTCACCAATGTTCTAAAAACCTCTAAAGCCTGGAAAAGCTAGCTTCCTCTTAAAGGTATGCAAAAGCAAGTTTATGAGTCAATATTTTCATTTTACCAAAACTGACACCTTATAGTCTGATAAAATTACGGGAATGAATTACACATGCACACCAGTACACACACTAATCCCTATGAAAACATACACTCACACATGTTCGGCCTCCTCTGACTGGCCACAGCTTGTCTGTTTGTTTGAGTTAGTAATCATTAATTTACCCAGGAAGTTCCATTAAGATTAATATCTTCAGCTGAGGGGAAAGGGGCGAAAAACAAACCCCAGTGACCACAGAGCATCTCGGTCTGTGTGAGCGTGAGTGAGCGCTGAGGAGAGGAGGAAGGGAGGTTATTCTCCCGAGAACAGCTTGTACAAGTGTCCATCTGCAGTTTGTCTTTGTTTCATGGTGCATCAAATGTTCAAAGAGGCTTTTCAGTGAAGGAATGACTTCACAGCGCAGCAGTTGCTTCGGTCTCTCATCCGTCTGACCCTACGGCGAGCAGACTACACACCGCTGCCCATCCTCGCCGCACACATCCCATCCCAAGCTCTCTCTTCTTTTTTCTATTTTTCTTAAAGCAAAGCTGTTTCATATTATCCAGCTTCAGACACAGTTTCTTCTTTTTATAATTTACAGCTTTACCCCTACGACATTCTTTTTTGTGCTTAATTCATTTTAAATGCAGGACTCAGTCCTTTTTTTTTGCTGTTCTTTCTTTTATTCCCCATCTCTCTTTTATCACTCCTTAGGCAGAGTTAATCTCTCTTTTCTGCGTCACTAGCCCTGATCGCCTCCTAATCACACAGACAAATGCATATGCAAGTGCACACATTCACCAGCAGACACACACACACACATATATATACAACCTCGGCTGCAGAGCGGTGAGTTGAAGGAATAATTAAGTGATAATTACAGTCTTTTAATGATTTGATTCAGTGGCTCTGTACATTAAGTGTATGTATAAGTGAGGCACTCACCTCTTCAGCCTATTACCATGACCTTGACTTTAGAGGAAAATGTAGTGAACAAAAAAGGCAAAGCAGCCACAGCAGAAGTAGAGGTTGGAGGAAACTTAAAGGTTGCATCCACAACCTGGAACTCATGCAAACACACATCTGCTTTGCAGCAATGGGCTGTAAAACATGCACACACTTTTACACAGGGCACTATTGCCATGGGGATATGAAATTTAATGCTTCAGTGAGTGATGTGTTGGTTGATTGTCCTATATGTGTGCATGTGTGGGTAAAAGTGGCTGATTTGCAGATATACACTAAGTGCATGGCCCATACTGTGGTTAATTAAGTGGGAGAGCAATGTTAAACTCTGTGGTTTTTTTATTAGCGGTGAAGCCAATGAGAGTGCTTTATCACCCCCCCCCCCTTCTTCATGGTGCGTCTTCTTTTCCCTCGTTACAGAAAATAAAGGACGATAAAAGAGCAGAAAAGGACCAGCAAGGAGGATCTCTGTCATTTTTTTCATGTCTGCTCCCAGAAAGCCGGCACTTTTTCCACTTTCCATTGTGATACATGTTGTCAGATCTTCCCACCGCAATTTACACTTGCCTAAAGCTACCCCTTCCTATTAAAATATACAGTCTGCGCTCCAGTTTTCTACACTATCCACTACTATGCAATTACTCCTGTGTCTCCAAGCTGTTAGGAGGCAAATTCACAGCCTTTATGGTGCCGGCGTGTGTGCTTTGCTCGTGCAGGTAGGCGGGAATGTGTCGGTGTAGCTATGCATTTGACAAATCCACTACAGCTAAAGAGTGTTTATTGAGTAGTGTCGACATGGCAACCCTTACTATCAAGGGGCCAAGCATCAGCATCATACACACTCCTGATTCACTATGACTCATGTTTTGATGCCAAACAGCAAATCTGTCTGTAAAGCTGAGCATAGGGATACTTTCACATTATCCCCCAAAAAATCAGCTGGTCCTTTTACTCATCTGCAAAAATCCCAAAAAGGGGATTTCTACGCACCTCTTATGTAAAACTTTTTCAGAATCAACTGAGAAATCTAAAAAATATTAAAGTTTGATGAGAAGAGAGGATGATAAATGAAGACTGAGCTTTAAGTAAGAAAATACACAAGGAAAGGATAGAGGAAGGGAGCAAGGAAGGATTGAAACAGGTATAGGACAAGGGAAGGAAGCATAAAATGAAAGAAAAAAGTAAAGAAGCACAAAAGTAAAGAGTATGAGAAATGAGGAAGGAAAAATGGATATAAGAAAAAGAAAGGATTAAAGAAAGGAAGATAAAGATAAAGGACAGGAAAATAAAGAAGGATGAAGGAGAGATAAGAAAATAAAACAATAAAAGAGGAAAGGATAAAAGGAAATGTGCAAAATCAGGACAACAGAGATTTCAGGACAATTTTTTCCTCCATATCTTTCTTTTCCATCTTCATCCATCACAACAAAGTTTAAAAGGTAATAGTGAGCTGCTGATAAAAACTAAACAATGTTTTTATTCATGAAAATCTTATTTTGAAAGAAGAAAGTACTGTTAGCTACAGGAAAAGAACGCATTGATTAAAACACCTTGGAGCCTTTAGTGTCGCTGCATTTTGGATTTTATGCTAAAAAAAAAAATTATTTGAATTATAAATTAGAAAATACTAAAATGTATCAAACCTGGCAAGATATTTTTATTCTGATTTCCCAAGTCTTTCATAAAGTTTGTGATTTGTGAAACTTTTACTCTTTTTGGAAATGCAAAGGAAATATAGAATAGTTTAAAAGATGCAGCTTAATATCAGCCGTCTCTTCTTCTAAACTTAAAATCATGCACCAGCTGCTTCTGTGAAAAACAATCAAGCATCTGAGATCCGCTCTAAACTGTTGGATCTACTGAACTTTGGTTGGACACCAACTGTCGGTATTTATTTCAACAAATTGCTCACTTCACTCAAACATAACTCAATAACTTCCCACCGAAATAATATGATCAGTATAAACTCCAGAATGAGGGTTCGATTCCCGCAGCCCGTGGATTACTTTAGATGTCTCCTTGCTTTGAGCTTCTGTAGCTGCATCTGATGTAATGATGTTGGAGCTGGAATCCAGAGCTGTGTTTTTTTCTAAACATTCTGTTCCACAGACATCTTTATGTTTAAATATTGTGATGTCAAGCTGATGGGTGAGGAGAATACGCAAATAACCAGCTTTAACCAGCAGCACATCCTGATCTAATGGGGGAACAATTACATTTCTCTCACAGCGTTTATTTAGGTTAATTCCTGAATATCTTTAGAGCATGAAGTCACTTTATTCTCTCAGCGCAAAAGATAACACAATGATGCCTCAATTTCAGTTTTTCGAAAACCTACTGCCACCAGTAAACAGATTTATTCAAGTCAAATTCGACATGTTAATATGCAAACGTTTCATACTATGTAGTATCTGCACAATAGGTATATAAAACAATAATGTTGAATGACAAGATATTCTTCAATGAATCTAAAATGTTGCTGGTGAAGATTCTCAGTCATCCAGGTCATAGCCATTCCAAAAAAGGTTAAAAAACAAGACTTTGTTTCCAAGTTTGAAGACGTTTTGCTTCCCATCCAGGAAGCTTTTTCAATTAAAATTTTAATTGAAAAAGCTTCCTAGATGGGAAGCAAAACGTCTTTCTAACTTTTTTGGAAAGATGCAAAATGTTGTTTTTGTCTTCAGTCACACAGTATTTTCACGTTCTCTATAAAAAAAGAAGCCATAGTCTTAAAGTAACTAAAGATGCTTGAAAAGATCACATCATTAAGAATCTCCAGCAGTGGATGTGATTCACTCTCAGGTTTGGATCTAACCCCCTAAACAGCCAACCTCAGGCGCTGACGATAAACAGTCAGTCAGGTCCTTCTTTAAGGTGTTACGCACTTTCCAGAGCCAGGAAATTTGCAGGAAAAATCACAGCGGACCAAGTTTACAATGCTCACAACCTTTTCCAACTTCTGGAGTATAGGTAGGAGCAACAGATTCAGGAAAGCTTTCGTCCCATAAGATATCATGCTAATAAAAACCTGACTGACTCAGTGTCAGGAGTTACCCCTGTGCAACAGCCCAGCAACTCTACCACTTATTTATTAAATTTATAATCCTCTATTTGCATAATTTCAGTCAGCTCCATTCTCTATTTTGTTCGTATAATCCATATATGTTGTTTGTATGACTGTATTAATGCGTTATTGCAACAATAACGTCAAATCCAAAATCAAATTCCTTGTATATGCACACATATCTGGTTGATTCTGACATAAATAATGTCTGTATTTAAGAAATGGAATTAAAATGACTGAAATGGTTCTGCTCAAAGCTGTTTTAATAACATGTATGAAAAGAGGGATTATCTGGGCTAAGTGAGCACAAAGCGTGGAGTTTGTACCTGCTGTAGCATAAGAGCCTGCTGCTGCTGCAGCAGGGCCTGGAGCTGAGGAGGGGACAGGATCTGTTGCATTTGCTGAGGAGTGATCATCTGTGGGCTCATCATGGCCATGGAGACGGGAACCTGAAGACGAGACAGAGGGAGAAGTATGGAGTGAACTTTGGTGGGAAAACAAAATGAAATACATAAAGAAAACTTTTAAAAAATCTTTGCAAAAAAAAAAGGTTATGAGAATAACTTTGCCGTTTTCTCAGATTGTTTCAGATCTTATTTTTTCAAATGTATTTTATATTTTTTACAGATGCCACATTTTCACATCTAGCATTTTTACAGCTTTTATATTGTCTTTTTATGTGACATTTTTGTTCTTTACATTGAGTTTAGGAATTGCACTCCTTTCAAATTATATGTCACAGATCAATTTTTTTCACCTCAAGTCCAATACAAGCCCACATATTGACCCATACAATGTTGTTCTTAACGTCCAAGTAGACAAATAGAAATGCCTCATCTGATCTGTAAAACACAATCCATACACCTTAATTTGAAAAAATTCTAAATACAAAATGAAAAAACCAAAACCATATTTTTAAAATATAAAATCTGTGAAAAACAAAATTAATAAAAATTAGGGGAAAAAGCAGATTACTTTATGTTTTGCATCTGTTTCAAAATTCCATTTACAAAACATGTTCTTTGCTGCAACAATAATAGAACCAAAGTCACTCCGTAGAGAATCCCATGTTAAAAGCATCCTAATATTTATATAAACATGCAAAACGAGAGGAAATTAATCCGTATGAGGTGAACTTTTGTGTTAAAAAGACTCTGTTGGTGCAGGAAGCCTTAGACATGACTGTGCCCGCAGACTGAATGCTCAACTTAAAATAAACAGCCTGCAGTACAATCTGGATATACTGTAGGCCGGTATGGGCAGGTAAGCCAGGGAGGTGTGTTCTCTCATGTTCTCTGTTGTCACTCAGGAAGAAAAAAAAAACTGGCAACATCAGATAAAGACAAATAGAGAGACGCAGTAAAACACATTCACGCTGTTGACATTTTCCTGCAACAAGGCTGGCATTGTATAAAAAAAAAAAAAAAAGAAAACTCCAATTTCCATCGCTGCTGCCAGAGAAGAAAGGACAGATATGCAATCTACCAATAAAATATAAAACCTTATCTGCTTTTATAAACACATGATTACGACTGTCGTCGATTCTCTCCCCGACCCAGCTGAGAGAGGAAAAAGGAACAACAAAGTTGCGTATCTGATGAGATGAGTATCTCATCAGATAGAGCTGCAGGCACGTAAAGAGGCAGAGAGATGGGAAGACATTACAGAGTTGGGATTTTTTTTTTTTTTACTGCAGATTGTGTTGTGCAAACCCTCCTTTATGTTCTTGCATTGGACACAGAAACATGCAGAGATGCTAATCTGATTACAAACACAACAACTCTGGGGGAAAGCTTACTGCACAAATCTGAAACTGAGACTGCAATTGGACAAAAAAAAAAGAAAGAAAGAAAAAGGGAAAAAAAGGAGCAGGAATCCTGCTGACTAAGCCCTTTTCTGTTCAATAACTCCCGGAGCAACAAAAGTGAAAGAGTAAAGTTAAAAAACGGAACAAGGATTGAAGTATTTTAGTTAAAGATAAAAAAAAAAGAGATTACTACTTCAAAAGATACAAGTTATCAATCTGTATTATGGTGTTTATAAGTGAATCTATGTGTTTATTTGAGATAAAACAGCAGCTTTACTGAGGAGCTGCTCATTTCCCAAACACCGGAGCGGATGGAAGAAACTAAGAGGGAAACAGAGGTGAACCATTACTGTTAGATTACATCTATAAAGAGTCACATTGACTCTATAAACAAAATGGACTATAAATACCAGCTGCCTCGTTACCAGCTGCCACTCATCCAGCTACATATAGTGAAGCTCATTTGTCAACCAGCAATGACTTCCATTGATTTATGGACATTTCTCACCCTTTCTGTAACCTACAGTATAGGGCTGCAGCTAGAGGTTATTTAGCTAAACGCTTATTTTATTAAGTAATCAATTAATAATCAGATGACAAAAACTGCTTTAAAGAAGATTTTACACAGAAAATCAACAGTCACTTGAGGAGTTTTTTTATGTAAAATATACTTCAATCTGCATACAGCAGTTAAGGATTAATAAATGACTAAATCATTGTTTCATCCCTAAGGCCCTAATCCTGACAATAAGCCAAACCATTACTACTGCATACCTAACCTTAACCTAAACTCCATTCACACCTTGTTCCTAAACCCAATCGCAAAACATGAAATGAGGATAGGAAAACTGTCCTCCTCAGTTTGATGGTGAAAATGGAAAAAAATGGTTCTCACGGATGGACCAGTGATAAGCAGCAGATGTCCTGGACCGTAGTGCACGTATCTAGTGTTATGCAAAAGTATTCACATCCCTTGATAAATGTGTCTAAATGTTGTCCAGGTTTTCGATGCAAAGTTGATAAAATATAAGTTACTGTGTTCTAATCTGTAAGGGAACCTCTTACTGCAGTATCAGTACTTTAAACACCGTTGTTTATAGATGTTGGAGATCTGCCTGTTTTTCAGTGTAGTCCTGTTTCTCTGACTCTGAATGGCTGGATGTGCTCTCTTCATCCTCTGACATGGGAGCTGGCTCAGAGCTCGTCTGCCTGGCTGTGTGTTTCCTGGATGGTGCCGCCTTTTACAGTTGCTTTCTGTATCTCTGCTTCTGTCTCCTTGAACCCAGACCCAGTCGGCCTCACACTGAGCCTGGTTCTGCTGGAGGTTTCCTCCTGTTAAAAAGGGAGTTTTCCTCTCCACTGTTGTTACAAGCATGGCTCTCATGACCACCTCCTGATCAGGAATGGTGAGGTCGGGAGAAAATCGAATGTTTGAAATTCAGTCAGCTGACGTGAGGTGGACGTGGGCAAATCGCTCAGTGGGCAAACAACGATTCTTCTTCTTCTTCCCCTCAGACAAAAACACAGAAGAATGGCAGGGGTGCAAGTGAAATTGAGTTCTTTCTGTAAAATTCTGTAAAAGCCACTTGTTCTCAGCCATGTCTTTGTCCAAATACGGCATCACCTTTTCTTTTTAGGGCTTTCAGGAAACAAAATTGCACAAATTGTCAAGGCAGCATGTTTCACTCTAGTGAGCTTCATGTTCCTCTTCTACTGGTTTGGCTTCCGGATAGACAAGTCCGAGTGGCTCCAAGTCACTGCTGAGCAGAGTCCGACGTGGTTTTTAGACGTACAGGGTGAGCAGGTAGATCGCATCAGAGCATCGGGCCGCACAGTGTGAGAACATACATCGTGAGCTGTGAACTTTTAAACCCTGCGGTTTCGTCGCACAGGGTGAGCTGTAGCTGCGTGCGACGATTAAAGAAATCGCAGTCTATGCCCGGCTTTAATTAAGGCTGAGATGAAATAAAAAATGTTTGAGACTTCATTCACTTGGAAAAAAGGTTTCAACAAGGTTGATTTTGGGGTATCATAATCCAGATAACTAAATTTTCCATTTAAGGACCAAGAGGCGACTGTTTTTGAAAGAAGCTCTGCTGTGTGGCTGCAAGGTGGGAGTCAAAGCGAGGTGAAAGGTGCGACCCTTTGGCGTTGTGGCAGTTGGTAAGGAACAGGCGAGGGAGGTGGAGGGTTGGGGGGTGTCAGCGAGGAAGACGGGGGTGGTGATGGGTGCCGCTTGGCGTCATGCCAGCTTGCCCCCGCCGCCAGGCCTTGTCAGTCTAGGCTGCCAAATGAAAAGCTGTAATTAATTGCTCTTGTGCATCCCATTCTTCCTCGCCGACTACTCATACATCCTATTTTATACACACCACCATTGACATTTTCAAGTCAGAGGCGTAATAATTACTGGAGTTATAGCACCTTTTTTCTGTGTGTTGGATTACCCTGCGACGCCGGAGCCACATGTGCAGGAGCCGTTGGAGTGTGTGCGCGGCGGTGGGCTGAATGTTGAGTCGTTAAGGTTTGACGCCATTAATTGCCCCTATAATCTAATATCACAAAGCGTTGTGATTATGGGGCATGCGTTGCCACCGCCATACGACACCGCCAGCCTCAGAGCCCCGCCGCAAAACAAAAGCCTCACCATTAGCGATTTGACGGGCCAGGACAAAAGCGCCTCACAATGCAGAATTATATTTTCATTCGGCTTTGTCTCTCCTGGTGAATGATTTCTCCCCTTTCATTGGACTGTGAATAGGGAGAGTCTGAAAAGCAGGGTGATTTGAAGTCAGCGATTTATTAAATGCATTTAATTTTTTCTACCCCCCCTCCCGCCGCTGTCGTCCATGTTTTTTCATGTTGCATGTTAATTTAAAAGAGAGAGATGCGTGGTAGATTAGTGGGAAGAGAAGAGAGAGGTAAGGTGGGAGGGGGGAGGTTGTTGTGAGCAGGAAAGAAAAGGATGTGTTGAGAAATTATGGGTGGAAGATAAGAGAAGTGTTTTGAGCTGTCAAGCAGAAATAACCGAGCAGGTTCTCTAGAAGAGCAGAATGCAGACGTCCAGGCATCCCAACGCTGACACACAGGTGAGAAGTCGCAGTCCTGCACCATATTTAGTCAAACCGGAAGATAAAAGAATGAAGAAAAAAAAGCCACTCGCGTCATTAACAATGCAAGAAAAAAAGTCGCAAAGCCTTCTAACGGCGCACGGGCGGACTCACACTTCAGAGGGGTCAGTGGCTGACAGAGGTTAACCCCTGCCATGGATGGAGGGAGCTGAGGGAGGGAGGGAGGAGAAGAGAGAGCGAGGAGACAGCCCTGTCGTTTACAGAGAGCCGAGGAGTAATTAGAGGGGTGTTTGAAGAGGGAGTTTAACTGATTAACAAAGGCAGGGAAGAGGGAGTCAGGGAGAGACCAGAAAGATGGGAAGGAGAAGGAAGAGAAAGGCATGAAGTCCCCGAGGAGAGAGGAGAGAGAAATCGGGGAATGTTACTTGCATTTCAATGAGGTTTCATCTCTTTTCTCCCTTGATGACTTTTCACTCTAACTGGGAGGGAAGCCACTCAGAGAGGGGAAGAGGGATTGCTGCCTGATATCAGTCCAGTCAGCGGACAGGATAAACAGGTCAAAATGTCTGCAGCC